CAAGACCAGCCTGACCAACATGGTGAAACCCCGTCTTTAAAAAAAAAAAAAAAAGAGACGGGGTTTCACCTTGTTGGCCAGGATGGTTTCAATCACTTGACCTCATGATCCACTTGCCTTGGCCTCCCAAAGTGCTGGGATTACAGGTGTGAGCCACCGTGCCTGGCCTAATTTAAAACATTTTTAAGGGTGCTCAAGCAATCCTCCCACCTCAGCCTTCAGAGTAGCTGGGACTACAGGCGTGCACCACCATGCCCGGCTAATTTTTAAAATTTTTAACAGGGGAAGGGTGGGTGCGGTGGCTCATGCCTGTAATCTCAGCACTTTGGGAGGCCAAGGCAGGCAGATCACCTAAAGTCAGGAGTTTGAGGCCAGCCTCACCAACATGGAGAAGGACCATCTCTACTGAAAATGCTAGCCGGGCATGGTGGTGCATGTCTGTAATCCCAGTTACTTGGGAGGCTGAGGCAGGCGAATCACTTGAGCCCAGGAGGCAGAGGTTTTGGTGAGCCAAGATTTCGCCACTGCACTCCAGCCTGGGCAACAAGAGCGAAACTCTGTCTCAGGAAAAAAAAATTTTTTTTTTTTGGCCGGGCGCGGTGGCTCAAGCCTGTAATCCCAGCACTTTGGGAGGCCGAGGCGGGTGGATCACGAGGTCAAGAGATCGAGACCATCCTGGTCAGCATGGTGACTAAAAATACAAAACATTAGCTGGGCATGGTGGCGCGTGCCTGTAATCCCAGCTACTCTGGAGGCTGAGGCAGGAGAATTGCCTGAACCCAGGAGGCGGAGGTTGCGGTGAGCCGAGATCGCGCCATTGCACTCCAGCCTGGGTAACAAGAGCGAAACTCTGTCTCAAAAACCACAGAGGAGGCCGGGCGCGGTGGCTCACGGCCTGTCTTCCCAGCTCTCAGGGAGGCTGAGAGGTGGATCACGAGGTCAAGAGTTCAAGACCAGCCTGGCCAACATGGGGAAACCCCGTCTCTACTAAAAATACAAAAATTAGCCTCCTGTAATCCCAGCCACTCGGGAGGCTGAGGCAGGAGAATTGCTGGAACCTGGGAGTTGAAGGTTGTAGTGAGCCGAGATCGCGGCACTGCACTCCAGCCTGGGAGACAGAGGAGCGATCTCAAAATAAATGAAATGAAAATAAACTCGCTGAGGAGGGTGCTGCTGACCAGGGCAGGAGACGCGCGGAGGGGACCCCGGGGCCGCCAGCCAGGCCAAGCCCCGTCCTCCCGCAGCGTCTCTCTGGCGCCCTCTACCGATAAAGGCGAACCGCGCCAGCTGGCAAAGGAGAAATACCGACTATTTCAGCGGCCCAGATCCGCTTTCGCAGACAGCGTCGGTGAATGTGCAGCTGAGAGAATGAATTCACGGACAACAGGAAACAAGGTTTAGAAATCTCTTAAGTGTCCTGTGTTTTCCCAACATTTACCCACGGCTCGCTCTGACATCTGAAATAATAGTGATCATTCTGGAGCGTAGTTAGTTGGAATTAAACAATTCCAGCTCTTGTTAAATGGGCATATACTTAATTTGCAAAATGCCGTGCAGGAACCCGTGGGGCACCTGGAGAAAACAGTGTCTGGAGGCGGCTCAGGTGCTCCGGGTTCACGCAGGCCGCGGGACGGGGAGGGGCCTGGCCGGGCGTCGGGGGCTGAGACCGCTTTTGCTGCTGGGGGTGGGGGGTGTTCACGCCCCTTAGCCTCTGGGAGGGACCTGCGGCAGGAGGTTAGCGCCCGAAGAGCAGGCCCTTCCCCGAGCCACGGGGGAAACCCCTGCCCCAGGTGTGTGACTTTAAAACTGCATCAGGCCACTCGAGGATTGTTTAGTGGCTATGAGAAAATTAATTATGCAGGCTGGGCGTGGTGGCTCACGCCTGTAGTCCAAGTACTTTGGAGGCCAAGGCGGGCGAGTTACCTGAGGTCAGGAGTTCAAGACCAGCCTGACCAACATGGTGAAACCTACCTTAAAAAAAAGAAAAAGAAAATTAATTATGCTTGCAGAAAACTTTAGCCAATACCTCAGAGGGAAACGTAAAAGAGGAAAGCCGCACCCCGACCCCACCCGCTCCAAGGCGGCAGACACCCCTCCGTGGCAGGGATTCAGCACACTCAAGTCCCCGTGCTCCCACGCGGCCGGCACCCAGCGCCCGGCTCCAGGGGGCGGGGAGAGCTGGGGACGTCGCGGCCCCGCCCACCCGCGAGGCCCCGCCCACCCCGGGGCCCCTCCCCCGGTCGCGAGCGTGCGCGCCCCACGCGGAGACCCCGCCCCCGAGCGCGCGCTCGTGCGCCGCTGCCGCCATTTTGGAGTGATCCGAGTGCCGCCCGCGGCCCCGAGTCGGTCTCCAGCCGCCGGCCGGCCGCGCCGGTGTCCGTAGGCGCTGAGCCCCGGGCTGGGCCCATGTGTGTGCGGCCGGCCCGAGGCCGCCTGGGCTTTGCCTCCACCAGCGCCCTGGCCTCCGTTCGGGCCTCCGCACGGGCCTCCGAGGAGCTGCCGCGACGCCCGGCCCGCAGGGCAGGTGAGTGCTGCCGCACGCCGCTCCGACCCGGTTCCCGGTCAGCCGGTGCCCCCACGTCACCTCCCCCGAGTCGGTCAGTGCCCCCGCC